TATATGCAATTATAGTACAGTTTCGAATTTGCTCTAATCGGAAATCAGAAATCATTCAACTTGGAAGGATAGGGGACATAATCAGGAGTTCGATAACCCAACGAAGAAGAGAACCCGATCAGCCGAACCAGAAACGCTACAAGGTGGAAGAATATCAGTCCGAAATGGACAAAAGACAGCAACGACAACGACATTAACAACAACGAAATAACACTAATAATAACAATAATAATAATAAAAATAATAATGATATGAAAAATATACTAATAATAAAAATAATAATATTTTGATAAATCACCATCTCTTATTATAATAAATGATAACATGCATTAATAAAAATAACAATAGAGCACTTCGTATTATCAAAATAGAATCATTCAATTTATCATGACCACATTTCATTCAGTGATATGGATATCATTCAGCCTCAGAATATTTCAGCAGTCTAACAGAACTCATCCATCAAAAACGCAGTTGGGGGCCTCATTGATCAATTCAACAAAACAGTGACATAATACTGAAAACAAATGTTGAATATTCAAGGCATCCTATTCATGTCTGAAATATCATGAAACAATCAACTTTTTTTTGTATTCTAACTAGAAGTGCTCTATCATCAAAACAGTAATTGATCATAAAAATAAAAATAATAATAATGATAACAAAATAATAATATAAGATAAACTAAACGATATCAGAGCTGGTGATNGCGACCTGCCGCGCCTTGATGATGGCTGGAGGCGCGCGCAGGCACCTCTCTCGACGATGGTCGTCCATCCTTATTTCGATCGCATCGGCGGAGAGGCCGGCGGGCATGCGCACGTCGTGCCCGCACCACGTGCAGAGGGCTGAAAATCATTTTAATGGGTTAGTACTTGTTTTTGATTGGTTTATGATCGTTCATACTGATGAAAGATTCAAGATAATCGTTCATCAATTTCCGTACAAGCATAAAAATGATTTCATTAAAATTGTACGAACTCAAGGTAAACACTCAAAGAGTAATTCAGATTATGACTGAAATTAAGAGATGTTGATGAAGCACGATTCGACTTCATTGAATAGTGCATTTCAGATCTCAGCTTCTATATGCTAACAGATGCTTAAAGGAAAATTGGTGCCACCATACTCTTCATTCCGGATGGAAAAGACTAAGAAATTCAGATGAAAATATTCAATGAATTGATAAGATGCAAACGAACTGCATTCACGATGGCAAGCCGCCCTCCGCACGTGGACCTTCCAGGCGGCGACAGTTTCGAATGGTGTCGTCGGCCTGGAACAATCGAGTAAGCAGCAATCTGAAATGGACACTTGTTTAGAAAAAGGAGACTATTACGATTGTTGTTCACACCATTCTGATTATCATTATTTTCATTCACTCACATATTCAAATCATGATAGATCCGATGATTGTTATTACCACTTATCCAATTCTCTTTTCAGTATTATTGTTTTTATCATTCAATTTGACTCAAATAGATATAACTGTAGGGATAGTGGAAATAGCGATAGTATATTCAGCAACTCGCAAGCAAACCTATTTAAAATCCAAAATTCAGCTCAGTGATTTGGAATATAAAATACATTATGTTTCATCAAAATCAATGGCCTTTCATCGCAGTAGGAATTCAACTCATCATTTCTGATGATATTACAGTTAAATCGGTTTGATTCATTTTTTCAAATTTCTGATAAGGTGAAATAAGATTCTAATTGTAAGCAAATTAAAACTGATATTATCAACCTACATATTTTATTATCAATTATTTCGTATGGTGTTGTTGTTGTGGCTGCTAACTCGACGGCGTGCTCAGGACGCAGCGTTTCGATATTCGCTGGCCTGAACACTACGGGCGCTGGTCGGGTTCTCCTCTGCGTTGGTTGGGTGGACCTTACAACGGGGTTAGTGGCGGATCTCCTGAAGCATGAAACGATTATTGTAATCTTCCATTTAACAGAAATTGATTGTTAGTTGATTTGATATCCGAACCAGAATAAAACCTCGATTACTTTAATCTACTTATTCATGGTCAAAGTAAGTCAGTTCGCAACGATTTTGGTAATATTCTCGAATACGCTCCATCAGCATACGTTCACCCCAGAGCGATTTTCTTTCTGACAATTCTTCATTACTGAGTGAGGTTCATTCAGTTGTCATTTGTGATTGTTTTGTGTAGATTACTGCCTTATAATGATTGATCAAAGCGAAATTCTGCAATTAAAAAACTGGAAAATTTGAAATCAAGAGAGAAATAACTGACAGACTGTAACGGGGTTGCGATGCTGTGATCGGGGTTGGCGGTGTGGTTGGGGTTGGCGGTGTGGCTGGGGTTGGCGGTGTGGCTGGGGTTGGCGGTGTGGTCGGGGTTGGCGGTCTCGCAATCACTTCAGGTACGGGCGGAGATGTTGGGGGTGCTGCAGTGGTGAGCTGAAAATTAAGAAATTAATGAGTATTACGAAATTTAATTCAATTCTCATATTTTCAAATAGTCGAACGATACTTACTTCGTTGGCCTGCTGCCTCCAGTCCTCCGTCTCCAAAAACTGCAAAAAATAATTCGTCAAGAATGGTGAATGGGTGCTTGCTTCGTGAAATTAATTTTCAATTATGACCTGAGTTGACTCTTTTGATTATTTGACACATTTCAGATAAGATCTTCTATCTGAGAATATTCATTCATGAACTTTTCATGTTGATAGCAATGATTTGCAGCGACAGTTTTCATTACTTAAAAACGCGAATATACAACATCCATTTATTGCATCAAAAAAGGTAATTCTCCGCCGAAGGATTATTCTTTTCACTTATACGAATGGAATAAACTTGTTCATTTCAGTGATCGATATTCACTGTACTGATTTGATAGTGAGATATATCGTAGATGAAAATATTCAGAAGTGCTCACCGGCGTGGCAGCTGGTATTTCTAGCGCAGCATATCCACGCTCATTCCGGATCACTTGCCATATTCGGCCCATGTTTCCAAAGCTCCAGCTACCCCCATCGGTGCGATGGATGAGTAGCTGGATGTGTGTCATGCGGCACACGACCTCCACGATCATCGCCGAGACGGAGTTTCGGCCGGCCATCTCTAACGCTTCATTTTCTGAAATTTGTCGAGATTATGTGAGTTTCATGAGAATTTTGCTGCATAAAATTTCTCAGATAACTTCGTTTGTTCAATCTCAGCGAAAAAAAACTCTCATTGCTGGCATCAAAGCAGTATAATTCCCCGTTCGACGATTGTTCACTCAGCTGACCACTCAATTATTGCTCACTTAATTTTTCACTTTTCGATGACAATTTAATGTTTTTT